TTATGCACAAACAATGAATCATGGAACACTTCATCTAAAACTAATGATGTAATGTATGGGGATTAACATAAGAATAAAAAATAATAAATCTAAAAAAAAATAAAAAAATAAAAAAAGAGAGAGAGAAAATGTGAGCCAAGGATGATGTATCTAGACAAACTGACTTTCAAGTCAAGCCACAAACTATTGTCAACATCCAAAATTCAGAAACTTATTTCTTTGAAGCACTTTCTGAGGAATTTAGTAGAGAATGAACTTCAGGTAGTCAAAATGACAGAGATGCGGACATAATGCCTGGTAGAAAATTTAAGATTTAATGATAGTTAGAAGAGAGACTATGTAGTATGTATAGTACAGATACTATACAATGTAAATAGAATAGCTCTATGAAAAATGGAAGTGGAATAAGAAGCACATGTGAAGAACAGAATAAGCACACCATTTGCTTTATAGTATTAACTGGGATGAAAAGGACAACCCTGCAAATCAGATACCTGAGAAGAGGGTACAGAGGGGATAAAGAACATTATATGAAGATATTTTTATCTTATGCAGCCACCAAAAAAAATGAAATCTTGCCATTTGCAATGACGTGGATGGAACTAGAGGGTATTATGCTAAGCGAAATAAGTCAATCAGAGAAAGACAAGTGTCATATGATGTCACTGATATGTGGAATTTGAGAAACAAGACAGAGGATCATAGGGGAAAGGAGGGAAAAATGAAACAATACAAAACCAGAAAGGGAGACAAACCATAAGAGACTCTTAATCTCAGGTAACAAACTGAGAGTTGCTGGAGTGGAGGGGAATGGGAAGGATGGGATGGCTGGGTGAGGGACATTGGGGAGGGTATGTGCTATGGTGAGCGCTGTGAATTGTGTAAGACTGATGAATCACAGACCTGTACCGCTGAAACAAATAATACATTATATGTCCAAAAAAAAGCTATTTATATTATTGGAACACAATTGCAAACCTCAAATACAAGAAAAAAAAAAGACTTTAAAAAGCAGAAACACATCGAAACCAAACCAAAGACCACAAGGTGAAAAATCATTCATACAGTATACTGTATATTAAATATAGTATGTCATATGCAACTTTTTTGCCACATAGTTTAGAGAAGAACACAACAATATATAAAAATAAAATGAAAAGGCAGTAAAAGTTAAACCATATTTTTTTAAATATTTAAATATGGGGAAGAGAAAGAATAATACAGAGAGTACAAGAATGGATGCTCAGCTTCTTGGACTATACATTGTTCTGTAGCTTTAACTTCTGGAATTATTTAAATATTTTAAATGAGTATAAACTAAAATTAAATTTTAAATGAATCATTCCTAAAAATAGAAAACAAACCTAAAGTAAGTCAAAAAACAAAATTACAATTATTTTTCTATTTCACCAAGTGGGTTTCTTTTATATCTGCTAACAACTCAAGATGTGGACTTGGGGTTTATAAAAATAACATTTAATATTTGGGCTCCAAATAAACAGACATGGTTCTCGACTTTTTCCTCCACATCTAACAAACACAAGAAAACAAATCTTAAATTAAATGAGTCAACTCAGGGAAATGTTACTCACTATCTTTTCTTTTTCATTTCTCTAGGAAAATAAAGGAAAGTCTGGAGTGCTTCCCTGTTAAGTTAAATAACTTGATCCATACGCTTGCACAAATGACAGCCATAAGTCCTGCTAAATCTACTTCACAGACTTTTCCCCATGAATCCTGTATGCTGAACGCAACCAGGTCAATTCAAAGAGCGACAATTTTAGGGTTCAGCAAGAAAACTAGTAATGTAAGTCAACACTGTCATTTTGACTTAAATATCATTTGACTTCATCGCAGACTTCCCTTCACTATGCTACACATCCTTCCTTACATCATGATATTTTTTTACTATGCAAATGAAAAATCAGTTACAGTTTGAGCAGAAGTGCCATTAAAAGAGAATGTTCTAAGGAGAAATCATAACAACCAGAGCTATTAGTAGAGAACCATCAAAGAGAACAGTTTGTGGTAGACTATAAATCAAGAACTAATTAAAGTGTCCACATGAAAAAAAGAGCAGAAATTAGGCAGTCTGTTCCCAGCACATAAGATTATGATACTTTTATATACTGTGTTTATAGGTAATTTTGCCTTTACAAATTGCATCTTTTAGCTCTTGCGATGACTTTTTGCAGAAAGGTTCTTGTTTTGTTTAGCTCACATGAAACCAGATTTTAAAATGTATCACAGGTTGATAATGCCACCTTTTGATTTTTGTCTATTTATTTTCTGCAGCTGTATCTAATCCGAGTGACACACAGTAACAATGAAACAAGCCTGACAGAAAAATCATTTGACCAGTTTTCAAAACTTCACAGCCAACTTCAAAAGCAGTTTGCATCATTGACTCTCCCAGAGTAAGGCACTGTCCTCCCCAGGGTTTTGCCTGCAGTACTTGTCCTTGAACATAAGGAAAAATTATGGTTATGGTATTTTCTATTTGTGAGCAACATAGCATTCTGACTCCAATGCCATTGAACCTATCCCAGCAGAGTCTGTATTGCTCCCAGAGTAAAGAAACTTTGTTTCATAAAACAGAACAAGGTTTGCAATTTCTCAGTTTGCTTCTAGCCATTGATTTTGTAGACAGAAAAATTCAGAAGCAATTTCATTTTCCATCAATTATCAGGAAAATTGTTTTATTTGCCTGTTTTTAAGTTTAATCTTTTTAGTTTTTTCTAGAAAAAATGAAATTGAAATTGAAAATGCAGAACTAAATTGGATATATCTATTCTTTCAACAAATAACTGCAGTAAAAAGCTCTGATATGTGTATTTCTTGTACCAGAAAACAATTCATTAATATCATTTAGTATATAAGTAAAATTTAGTAATACCAACTTACTTTCATTGTGAATTATTAACTTTGACTTGGATTATCTAAATTTAATTTGTTGTTATGTTCATTGTCAAACAATTATGAAAACCATTGCTTTTGTTCAGGTTATAATTTAAAAAATACTAAACATAAACACATTAAGAATATAATTGAAAATTACTTCTCTTCAGACAAACCTTCTAAAATACATCACTTAGAACTAACCAAATTTAGGTCATAGACTTCAGTGTATACCAAAGGAGTATCTTGACTTTAAGAAGATGAACTTGCCAGAGGTTATATTGGCACTTAGGGTAAATCAAATGTTATTTTATCTATATTGACATTTTTGTTAAGTAAATGGTCCTTTAACAATATGAATGTCCATATCTGACCTGACATACTCTTTACATGTGGATTTTTATCAAGCTTTCAGGATTTAGTCACTTTCCAAAACATAACTCTAAGCAAAGTTATCAATGGATGGAGAGATACTGTGCAATATTGAAGAGTGAAGTACTTCATGTTTGTGAAAAACTGTGCTTGCAGATGTCACAGAAATTTTGAAATGCAGATGCTTTAAGCATCAGGAGGTGAACAAATTAGAGTAAGAGTATGTTCAAGAGACTGAAAGGAAAGGAATGTCATTATGGAAACTTAAAAGCAGCACCAGCTTCAAGAATTGCCAAAAAACATCTGATAGAATAACAGAAAAGGAGGAGCTAGCAAAAAAAAAAAAAAAAATGCAAAGTTTGACTGCAAATATCAAATTCAACATCAGTGTTGCCACTGTACTCTACTAATTAATGATTTAAAATATGTTAGTCATTGTTAAGTGGCTGCCCTTTTTGGTTTCAAAAACTTCTCTGCTTTACACTTTTATCTGTGCACTACATATTAGGACAACTTGTAAAACCTTAAAAGTGTTAATAATCTCTCTCCATATGCCTCTTCTCAATTTTCAGCTTTAGTTAGGATTATGCCTTGCTCAACACCACTGCCTGATATTTAAATTGATTTTAAAACCATTCCAACAATGTGTATGTGTGTGCATATGTGTGGTGTTTTGGGGGGGGCATATATTTCCTGTATGCCCTTGACAATATTTGTATGCTGACAATCCCAAGGGAGCTAAGGGAGCTAAGGCTTCCAGTGATGCATATAAATGAAGTATGAATGCAAGATTTCCTCTGACTCCTAAATTTACTAAGAGAAGCCCTACAAGAATTATGTAAACCTGCTCTAGAGATTATGATCAGAAAGTTAGAGTCATAAAGAATAAAATTTAGATTAGTTGTAGTGTAAATAGTGGTCTTCAAAGGGGGCTGTTTATACCTCTAGATACCTTGCAAGGATACAAGGATACATAGGCATGGAAATCTTCTGTAAAATTAATGGTCTTCTTTAAAATTAACCTGCTTAAGAAGGGTTGACTTCCTTTTCCTCTTCTACTTTCAACATTGCTCTTCTCCCAACCATCCAGAATCTTATTTTGGTACATTGTCCCAGAGAGGAAAAAATCTCTGAGAATGAAATAAAAGGCAAACCAAAACATTGGTTCAATACAAATATTGAAAAAAGGAATTATTCTAATAATCAGATATAAAATCTGTTTGCAAGTCAAGTGTTTCCTAATATTTGGCTTGAACAAAATGGAGGGAGGACATGATGTCATTGTCAGATAAAAGATCATAAAAAATCATTTTCAAAAAATGATTGCTATATTATAAGTGGCATATAACTCAAAAGCATTTCAACAATTGAATGACATTACTATGACTAAATTTTTCAATTCTCTTGTACTTAATTATATACAAGGCTTTTAGTACATACCTCTGTAAAAACAACAACAAAGGAATAGAATTGATGTTGAACTCCATTTTCTTTTAGCAATAAGGAAAATTCATCTACAGATATACAAATTAATATTTAAAACCTGCTCAATCCATTTATCAAATGCATTTCTGGTTTGGTTAATTGTATATGGTACTAAATGTTGTAATAATTAAATCTGAATGAAAAATTTTAATACTTTATGCCTTAGAACTGCAGGAGAACTTTTTAAAAATAAAATGTCAATTATTTAAATACACAAATATTATTTTGGGCTTCCTTAACATTTCCAACAAGAAGCAGTGAATAGGATGGCCTGCAGTTGATACCTACATACTTCTGTGTTTGCTGACAGTCTTTCACTATCCCTCATGCCCATTACCCCAGGGAAATATCTATACCAAAGAAGCAGAAGTGTGAAGGAGGCAGCAGCAAGACTGCAGTCAGAGAAACCTGCTAGATAGTTCTGAAAAAGATATATTTAGCCAGCAAAATATGTTACCAATGCTAACCATTAACAAGTCATTCCACTAAGTAATTGGTCTTAATCACATCTAACCCATCAAGATGAATTATCAGATAGTGCAGGGGAGATTCTGGAAGTTAGACTCTTGAGGAAAGTGATACTCTATTCTAGAAGACTAAGACCAGATGGAAACATATGTTACTTGGTAAAATGTTTAATTTAGTTACTGTAGAAATATTTCTAGCGAACCCAAAAGAAACAATACAATCTGACCTTTTTCAAAAATTATGAATCATTAACTTAAGAAAGTACTTATTAAGTCTCCATATATATTTAAAGGACAAAATGTGTGGTCTTCTATAAACACAGCAAGAAAGAACATACGTATTAATATGTTAAATTAAACTAAATTAGTATTAATAAAGTTAAAATAGCACAAATGACTACAACCATGTTAATGAAACCCTCAGGATTAATAATGTGTTCCATTTTTTAAAAATATTTTCATTGGCCCTTCAACCTGATGCTATAAGTTCATGAATAACCTAAGATGCAAATTTTCAAACTAATGAAGATACACTTTTTTTTTTAAAACAGATTTCCTCATTGGTGGCACTTACCTTTTACAAATTCAGACCACAAAAGATTCAAAGACCTAAATCATTACATGGAACAGATATTAAATGGATCATATGAAGTTGCAAATGTATGTTACAATTTACTTTTATATTTTTATGAAAATATCCACTATTTTATGTATTATTACTAGAAATCTTGTTACATACTTGATGATAACATTCTTGTACTCTTTTATTCATTCAACAAATGTGCATGCCCAATATGTGTAAAATTCCTGAACAGGAAACTGGAACAGTAAAAAAAGGTATAGCACCTTGACCTCAAATAATGAAATAATATGTATTAGTGGACTATCAGGGCTAGGAAATGCCCTAGTATTTTAGAGAATTAAGAATTATTTCTGACTGTGATAGTGAAAAGGATTCAGGGAGAAGAGAGCATCTGATCTGAATCTTTAACACCAGGTAGGATTTTTTTAATGTATTATTTGTTTCAGGGGTACAGGTCTGTGATTCATCAGTCTTTTATAATACCCAGTGCTCATTACAACACATACCTCCCCGATGTCCATCACCCGGTTACCCCATCCCTCTACCCTCTCCCCCCCGCCCACCCCCCCCCCCACCCCCCCCCCCCCCTCCCGCAACCCTCAGTTTGTTTCCTAAGATTAAGAGTCTCTTATGGTTTTTCTCCTTCAGAGGTTTCATCTTCTCATTTTTTCCTCTCTTCCCCTATGATCTTTTGCCTTGTCTCTTAAATTCCGCATATGAGTGAGATCATAGTGTTTTAAAAAGAGTTGGCCTAGGGAAGTATTTCAAATAGAACGAAACAATATAGGAAAGGTCATAAGTGAAAGAAGAAGAAGGAGGAGGAAGAGGAGGGGGGATATCATTAGATTCTATTGCTCCTGTGATAAATTATGACAAATTTGGCAGTTTAAAACAGCACAGGTCTATTTTCTTTCAGTTCTGAAAGTTAGAATTCTGAAAAAGGGCCTTAAGGGACCAAACTCAAGGCGTTGGTAGACTGGATCTTTTGGGAGATAGAGGGGAAAAAACTCATTTCCTTGCCTTTTCAGTGTCTAGAGATTTCCTGCATCCCTTGGCTTGTGCCCTTTACAGCAACTGCACACCCTGACCTCTGCTTCTGTCATCACATCTCTCTCGGACTCTTAGTCTGACTCTCCTTGTGTTTACACTGGGCCCACCTGAATAATCCAGGATAATCTCACCATTTCAAGATTCTTAATTTAATTTTATCTGCAAAGCCCCTTTTGCCACATAAGGTAATACACATTCACAGGTCCTGGGGATTAGAATGCGAACATCTTTGGAGGGCCATTATTCTATCACAGAAATACATGAAGAAGTGCAAGAACACAATTCAATTGGATCTCAACATTCTTGTGAGGTATCTGTGAAAGGAACATTAAAACCAGTAAGGAGGTCAGGGCCAGGTTGTCAAGAGCTAGAGCTAAGCCTTAGAGGGTAGTGAGAACCTAAAAACAATAAAAAGAATAACAAATATGAGAAGAATATTCTCCCAGATATATTGACCTTGTTCTCAACAACCTCTTATCCCAGATCCTGGCTCTCCTTACTGGACTGGAACTACATTCTTTTCAATTTTTAGCTTTTTAAATTGTATAACATGTATCCAGAAAAGTCTACAAAAGATTTGGTAGAAGTGACACTGCATGGCTTTCAAGTTAGGGTAGAAAAGGCCGTGCAGCTTCTGTCAATTCCTCTCCATGTATTCCCTATGGAAACCTTCAGCTTCCGTATAAGAAACTGAGCTCCCCTGAGTCTGCCAGGTGGAGAAACAGTGTAGAGAGATGCCCAGGGAACACTGTTGTGCCGGTGCCCAGCTGAGGTTCCAGCCAGCAGCTAGCATCAACGTCACAGTATTTTGAGTGGATGACTTTAGCTCCAATCACCAAATGACTGTTTATTAGAGACCTCAAGCCAGAACACCATAGATGAGCTCAGCCAAACCCCAGAATTGAGAGACAATGACAAAATGATTGTTTGTTTAAACCAGCAATGCAGGGATAGACCACATCTAAGGTACATGGATTTTCATTGTTATACAGCATTCTGTTATATGAATATATTGCAATTTGTAGATTCCTCTCTACATAGACATTTGGAATCTTTCCAAGTTGGGGTTATTACAAATAATGGTGTTATGAACATTCTTTTACTTGTATGTCTCTTCATGCACTCGCGTTGGTCATTCACCTAGGAACAGAATTTCTGGATTTTAGGATATGCTTATCTTCAACAATAGAGGCTCCTGCTTGCAATGAATAAGTGTTCCCATTTCCCACAACCTTATCTATACCTGGTATTGCCAGTCTTTCTAATTTTAGCCATTCTGGTGAGTGTGCATCTCATTGCACTTTAGTCTGTATTTTCCTAACTATTAATGAGATGGAACACCTTTTCATATGTTTGGTCATTTGGATATCCTCTTCAGTGAAGTGCCAGTTTATGTCTCTTGCCCTTTTTCTATTAAATTATATGACATTCTTTTACTGATTATAGTATTTTTCATACATTGTGGATAGAAGTCCTTTGTTAATTAAATACATTGTAATGATTTTCTTTCACTCTGTGTTTTGTCCCCTTGTTCTTTTTATTATGTCTTCTGATAAACAGAAACTCTTCATTTTAATATAGTAAAATGTATTGATATTTTCTTATTTGATTAAAACATGCCCTACCTCAATGTCATAAAGAGAGTTTCCTATATTATCTTCTAGAAGCTTTGTTGTTTTGCCTTTCACATTTAAACCTACAATCTGTCTAGAGTGGACTTTAGTGCATGGTGTGAAATAAAAGTCATCTTATTTTTTTTTTCCATGTAGATTTTGAATTGTTCCAATATATTTAAAAGACTTTTCTTGTTATTTGCTGTGCCACCTTTGTGATAATTTAAATATCCATCCACGTATGTGTCTACTTCAGGGTCTATGTTCTATGCCACTGTGATCTCTTTGTCTACCCTTGTGCCAACAGTCTTAATTACTGTAGCTTTATAATAAGTCTTGAAATCTAGCAGAGTAAGTTCTCCTATTTTATCCTTATTCTTAAACAGTATTTTGGATTTCTGCATTTCCATGTAAATTTTTTTTTTTTTTTTAAGATTTTATTTATTTGAGAGAGAGAGAATGAGCTGGTGGTGGGGGAGAGCAATGGGAGATAGAGAGAAAAGCAGACTCCTTGCTGAGCAGGGGGTCTGATGTAAGGCTCCATTTCAGGACCCAGAGATCATGACCTGAGCCAAAGGCAGATGCTTAACCGACTGAGCCTCCCAGGCACCCCAAAATTTTAAATTTCTCTTGTCAATTCCATGCAAAAGCCAACTGGATTTTAGTTGAAAATGCATCTTAATATTTTACAATCCATTATCATGTACCTATTTAAATTTTTTTTTTAATTTTTTCTCAATAATAGCTTATTCTTATATGCATAGAGATCTTAAAAATACTTTATTTTACTTGATACCTTATTGTACCCTTTTAAAATTCCATTTTGTTCTTTTTTACCAGTATATAGATACAACTGATTTTGTATATTGACAGTTTTCTCAACAACCTTACTAAATTCACTTCTAATTCTAACAATTTATTTGTATTTTTTTAATATTCTACTTAACATCATATTGTCTGCAAATAACAGGAGTTTTTTCTTTCCAATATTTATATTTTATATTTCTTTTTCTGGCTCTTTTGTACTCTGTAGGGCCTCCAAGTGGTGATGGCAGATATGCTTATGTTATTTCTGGATTCAGGGAAGAACTGTCTAAAGTTCCTCATTAAGTATACAGGTTTTGTAGGTACCCTTTAATATTTTAAGAAAGTTTCCTTACGTTGTAAAAAAAAAATTGACAATAAAGAAAATTGAATTTATCGGGCACCTGGGTGGCTCAGTTGGTTAAGCGACTGCCTTCAGCTCAGGTCATGATCCTGGAGTCCTGGGATCGAGTCCCGCATCGGGCTTCCT